GTGCAGCAGTAAAACACGGTGACAGGGGGAGGGGGGGGGGTGAGTGAGGGGGGAGACAACTTGCGGCTCTGGGGTGGTACAGAAGGACACGGAAGGGAAGCAAAAAAAAGGAAGAAAGTAGTGGTGGGGAAAAAATGAAAGGAAGGTACATCGGAGAGAAAGGGAAGAGGTGGGGGGGGGCACAACAGAATAATTCTGCATGCGCTTTGCAGCTATGGGATTCATGACCAGCGCGCGAGTTTTATACCTATGTACGCGATAAAACTCGTTTTAACAAAAATATTTAATATGTTGAACACATTTCTCGCAAAGAACATATTGATGTAATATTAATGAATGCTGAATCCCCACGCAAGCCGTCGCTCGCGCCCTGGTGTGTGGTTTGGATAGTGCGCGCGTGTGTGCGTGTGTGTGTGCGCGTGTGTGTGTGTGCGTGTGTGTGTGTGTGCGCCAGGTGAACGGCCCGAGTAGCGCGGTGCGGCGGGGCGCGCAGTGTAGCGATGTATCCATCACGAGGACGATAAGGATCTCTTAGGCCGGCCAAAGCCTTGCCCTACCATCACACGCCTGCCGTAGCGCCGCTCACTACCCTAAATCCAGCACTCCACCACGCCGCAGAGAAAGAGAGAGAACGAGAGAGAGGGGGGGGGGGTTTAGGGGACAGACTCGGAGGGGGGAAAAGAGCGGGTAGGTGGGAGGGGAGAGTAAAAAAGGAAAACATGCGAGTCGGCCAATCTTCAATCACCCCCTCCACTACGTACCTGCGTCCGCCTCTCTCAGCCTCTGTCTCTCTCCTGTCCCCTTGCCACCGCAGTCGCCCTCCCCCGCTCCATGCCCACCGCCAGCCCTAACCTCACAGAGCCATGATAATTTGAGTGGAATTCGAACCGCCTCATCGGCGGCTACGGGTTCCGATGGCGCCGTGTGACAGCGCAGCGATGGCCAGATAGGCCCCAACCACCCCGCTGCCTTTTATTCGGCCACAGCCGAATTTATGGTAACGACCTGTTGTCACATCAATTGGCTCCGCGAGGCGGCCGGCCCGGGCGGGGCGGAGGCGATGCAGACCTGTCAGGCGCGCCGCGGCGTGCCGGTGTGTGACTTTTCGAGCCGTCATTCCATTTGATTCGCTTCGGCGGTGCACTTTGGTCGCGAGGAGCGCAAAAGCACGCCGAAGCGGGAGTGCGGGCGGAGGGGGGAACTGCCTGAGCCAGCGAAAGTCGTTCCGGCGCAGACTCAAAGAGAGAGGGTAGGGTGGCTGCATATTACTATAAGCTTTCAAATCAATCGTCGCTGCGAATACAATGCGGAAAAGAAAGAAAGTCTACAAAAACAACAACAACAAATGTGTGAGCGTGAGCGTTGTTGTTTGAACTGCCAAGCGACCCGCGCCATTGATCTGCTCCCCCCCACCCCCTTCCCGTTTTTCTTTCCATGCGTGAGTCGGAACACAGAACGCGCCGACCTTCGCGTCACAGACCGCCAGCGTTATACGTTATAATTAGCCGCGGGGGCGCGATCAGAACCGAACATCGGCCGGGGATCAAATAAAGCAACGCGCCGGGGAAATTCATTGCGTCTTTGCGTGTGGAGGAGGAAAATTATGAGCATTATTCACATTATTAGAAATCAAGATAAATATGCCCCCGACACTCCCTTGCTAACGAATAATAAATTATCTGGGGAGGGAATGGAAAGAAAAAGGTCGGGGCGGCGGTGTGCGCGAGCAGCGCGGGCCGGCCGGGGGAAACTCACCTGGCAGCGAATAAAAGAGAGGTCGGGGAAAAGGAAACGCGGCGTGGGGAGGCGTACCCATCCCGTGTTGGGAAAGTAGCAAACTTTTCATTCCCGGCGCGTAATAATTTCCAGGAGTATATACAGTATTTAATTACGAGGTGACGTAAATCAAACGCCGAAGGGCCTCGCAGCTCCGGGAGCGGCCGGGACGAGCGGCCGAAGCAAATCCTTTTCATCCTTAACCACAGCCCGACAGGCCCATTACAATATGGCCTTGTTCCGGGCCGGCCGGCCGCCACTAAAATAGGCCTTTCGTGTAAACGCGGCGCGGGTTGCGTGCCCGCCGGCCGCTTTGTCAATTTTTAATAGTATCAGCCCGCCCATTGGGCCCGCCCAGCCCAATCGTGACTCTTCCCCGTGTTTTGTGTGTCACCTGTCCGTCCGTCCCGCGGCCGGCCCAAACGGGAAATAACGAGACAAGCCGCGGAGGGAGATGGGGCGAGCAGAGGGGTGAAAGGAGGAGGCAGGATGGAGGCAATATCCATGAGCTGCACCCCCTCTTTCTCTATCCTGCTTCAGGTTGCGAAGGTGGAAACGGGAGAAGGCAAGGAAGAGGAAGAATAGACTAGTTGAGAGGGGAGAGCGGAGGGGGACAAAAGAGGCGACTCGGTGGTGTCACCGCCAGCCCACTTTGCCTGTTGTTTGCGAGCCTCGAGGATGGAAAAGAATTGCTCCTCCGCAGACTCACATCCCGATCAGGAGAAGAAAAGAGCAGCAGCGTATTAGCCTGCCTCATCCATTGGCACTCCGTGCAAGTGACGGAGAGACAGGGGGCCGATGACTATGCAAACTAGCGGTATCGTCAGATTTTCCAGTCGTTCAACTTCCTGACAGCTTGCAGGCAGAGGTGGACTGTTGAAGCTAAGTCAAAGCGCATCAGAAAAAGAGGGTTGAAATAATAATGTGACGTTGACGGGCACAGCGGTAGTACCGAACGACAATCGCTTATCGCTGCGGGGTCGCGAATATCCGCAGCGCTAGTCAGTGGGAGCGTAACATACTAACGGGCAGTCAGTGGGAGAGGAACATACTAACGGGCAGTCAGTGGGAGAGGAACATACTAACAGGCAGTCAGTGGGAGAAAAACATACTAACGGGCAGTCAGTGGGAGAGTAACATACTAACGGGCAGTCAGTGGGAGAGTAACATACTAACGGGCAGTCAGCGGGAGAGTAACATACTAACGGGCAGTCGAAAAGAGTAAGAGAGCGCAAGGGCCAATCAAGAGGCGAAATGGGTAACGTCGAGAGTAACGTACACGCACTGTAAAACTTTATGTTATTGATGTTTACAACACATTTGTTGTGTAATATTTAGACGTATTGTTTTAAGGCAACTCGTTTTGTAACTTAACAATTAACAACTGACGTTAGAGGTAGCCTGAAAAAATAATTAAATGATGAATTTCTGAAACCTTTCTCTCTTTCAAACAGTCTCAAACAGAAATTTTGCGGTCACATATTGACTTCTTGTAATAGAACAACAGGTTTTGCAATGAATGTATGCAACACAGGAGTTGCAGCATGCTGACAAAATGAGTTATTTTAATGAGTTATTTCGTGAGTCATCACGACGACTAGTACCAGGTGATAACTAATTTTTAACAACGCGCCCTCCCGGGGCATGCCGTACTCTCCGTGCACAGAAGTAGTGTTTGGAAAGTCGTAGGTAAAAAGAATGATTGAACACGTTCTGCTGGTCTCTCTCCGCGCGCCCTACCTTCGTGCGCAGCGAGGGCATCCACCCCGTCGGGCAGTACAGGTGTGAGTGGCCCCACACAGCCAGCCGGAAATTAGCAAAGGCTGAAAATTTCATGGGGACGCGATGATTCCCGAGTGGCCACTCCCACGCCCGCCCCCAC